AAATATTCGTAAAACAGACAGTGCCTAAAAGAGAAACGCAAGTATCACTCGTTGCTCGAGCCACTAGAAATCAATCGTATTTTTCTGAAACACCATGTGTCCCGCACACTTTTAACAACGAAGTCCTTTTTTAAAACAGGCCATTGATTTGATATGTGGGGTTTAACGTCCCAAAACCACCATATGATTATGTTAGACGCCCTAGTGGAGGGCTCCGGAAATTTCGACCACCTGGGGTTCATTAACGTGAGCCCATATCTGAGCACACGGGCCTACACTGAGCATTTTAGCGACTCCATCGAAAATGCAGCCACCGCAGCCGGGATTCGATCCCGCGACCTGTGGGTCTGCAGCCGAGTACCTTAGCCACTATACTACCGCGGCGGGGCTTTAAACAGGCAGTAAAAGTTTTTTTTGTGTGTAAAAAAAAGAAATTCACTGATGATTAGAGTTCTTCCGTATGTGAATTCTGAGCGCGGCTTTGCGTTTGGACAATGCCAACTGTGTTTGAAGTTTTTTTTTTTTTTAACCACCTGCAGTTGTAGCAACGTAACATTCGTTACATATTACCACAGAAGCTTCCAGCGCTAGAGCACTATGCGCAAATGATTCTACGCATTGCAAGCATCGCAAACCAAGGAATCGACAACAGCCCCGTTACGAGAGGCCGAAGCCAGCCACAGAGTACAAGCCGGCCCATGAGAGGGCGCTGGCCTTGGACAAGAACAACAAGAGAGAAGGCAGGGAGGTTAACCAGGCACATGCCCGGTTTGCTACCCTACGCTGGGGGAACGAGAAGAGGGCGGCGTACAAAGATGAGAGAGAGAGAAGGGGAAAGAGAAGCTTGCGCACTGAGGTGCCCGGATGAAACGAGTTATGCATGGACCTTGAGACGCAGTAGCTCAGACCGAGGGGCCAGCACGCGTGACGAAGTAAGAAAGTGAAGTTCAAGGCTCTCAATATCGACCGACTACGTGTTCACGCTCATCGTACGCTCTATTTCGTACTCGTTCGCTCTAGCGGTTACTCCGACGACGCCAACGGCGACGCCGCACAAAGCGGGGAACTGTGTCTAAGAGCTGAACTGTATAGAACTGGTCTACACACACAAAAAAAAGCTGTCACATCGGTGTGTGCCGCAGAAATCGCGCGGATCTCACTACTCACCGCTAGTCCACTAGAAATGAAGGAGCCGGCACTGCGAATATCGTGGCATCACTGGCGACCCCGCGTGCGCTGCCCCTCATCCGTTTTTTAGAAGAGCCTGTGCACGAGCGTCGGCACGACAGAAGCCATGGGCGAGACAAGAGGAAGGTTCACACTGCCGAGAAAGAAGCCGCTTACAGAGAATCGAGGCGTGCTCTAACCGAGATTGTCAGCGTCGACGGCGAGCGGATCCAGCGCGGTTAGTCCAATGCATGGCTGCGAAGCGGCGGCGATGATCCGAAGACTCCGAGTACGTTAGCACTTGGAACCACTATAGCGAACGAGAAAGACGATGGCAGCTGCGACAGTACCCCCGAATCGATGGAAGCCATATATGCGAACGAGGACTTATTACTTTTTTTTTTCTTTTCTTTCTTCTCCCTTCATTCTTCCCCTACCTATACCTCTTAATTCCACTGCCCATCCCCGTGCCAACCTGTTGAAGTGTCATCGTAAGGATAGATAGTTAGGGGCGGCACTTTTCTCTTCCTTTCCTTAACATAGTCACATAGTAGTAGTAGTAGCAGTAGATCTGTGGAAGCCCCGCGGCGGTGGTCTAGTGGCTAAGCTACTCGGCTCCTGACCCACAGGTCGTGACATCGAATCCCGGCTGCGGCGGCTGCATTTCCGATGGAGGCGGAAATGTTGTAGGCCCGTGTTCTCAGATTTGGGTGCACGTTAAAGAACCCCAGGTGGTCGAAATTTCCGGAGGCCTCCACTACGGCGTCTCTCATAATCATATGGTGGTTTTGGCACGTTAAACCCCACATATCAATCAATCAGATCTGTGGAAGGTGTGTGGCGGCGCAATATGCGCCCGGTTCCATGCAGCCCCCACCTTGCTATCATTCAGCCCGGCATGACACTGCATTGCGATCGGATAAGCCATGGCGCCACCACAACGTCACTCGAGGCCTATGTCAATGGTGGTGGCTACAAAACCAGGCTGCCAAGCTTGGAGACACATCATTTCGTTCCGCTGCATGGATCTGGCGAGCGTATAACGTCAAAATGCTCACGTGGAGCTACTGCTGTAGTTGAATAAGCACTGCTTACTTATTTATTTTGGGATCCATCCTTACGTCGACACGGCATCCAACAGGTGGGAATGCTCGGTTTCAGCGCCACTATCTGTCTTTGGGGTTTGGACATCCGTATCGTGCCTGTGATTATCTTTACCTCGAACCTAGAAACAACCTGGCATCACCTAGCTAAAGATAACAGTCGAGAAGCAACCAGATGATACTTCAGAATCGTGCAGGTTTGCAGTGTCAAATCTGGCACGACCTGATGCTATTTTTAAAACCGCTGTTAACAGATTTCATATTCGCATCTACAGCGTGCCTTCGAATTGCTCGCATTTTTTCTCTCTCTATTACTGACTCATTTTCGTCCAAGCGTGTAATGTAGCAAGCTGTACATAGCCTAGTATATACGCCTCTCCGACTTTCTGTTATTAGCCACGTCTTTCTTTCTCTCCATTGGTTGTGAGCGTGCCACTTGCATGCGCAACTACAAGACAGCGGCAGTCGTGCCAACACCTCGGAAGTGTCACTACCGGCACTAACCAAATTACTGCTCCGAACTGCGCTTCCCTCCACGCATGGTAACGACGGTAAAGACTCTGATGTCATTATCGTCTCTGCAATGCTTTTAAAACTTCGTCAGTTTATACCGTTTATCACTGGTCTCGTTTGACGCTCTCGCTGGTGAGACCGGAGCTGTAAAAGCGAAGGGTGGACACCCCGGGCGTTTTGTTCCGATCGATCTATCGATTTGTAATCGTGAGTGCGCGGGTAAGTAAAAATGTATAAAAGAGCGCACGATGACAGGGAAGCTCTTCAGATCATTTGTGTCTTGGCTCTGCTGTACCACAGATGGCGATCTCGATTTCTGGCTAATGCGCATCAGGTGTAAACTATGGCAACGATGAATGAAAATAGCATGAGACATGGCAACGGCTTTACTTTTTTTCTCTCGTCTTCCTGACAAAAATTGCGAGCTTTGTGCGTCGAACTTACGGCGCTGGTAAAACCATACATCGTCGCTGATTATACTCTATGGGGTCTTTCTGGGGTCATAAAAACGCCGTTTTATAACAAAGTAATGGGAGCTCGCCCATTAAGTGATTTGCAGTCACAGTTGCGAAACTGGTGAATTATCCTGTTGATATTGCACAGCAGGGTATCCGCGCATAAACCCGCCGTACAGTTATCGCACTTGGATATGGTCGTCTTAAATTCATAGTTGGTGTAGCACTACCTCAAATTGTGACACCGAACATGGAGAATCAGGCACATGAGAGAAGGTGTATGAAAGTGACTTTGCTGTATCTTTGCGAACATGTTTTCTCAGAAGGTTAACGCTACGCTTGATGCACCTAGCCAAATTTCCTGAGGTTGCGAGGCAAAATACCATTGTTTTTAAAAGCTAAACTACGAATAAGGGCTTCAACGTAGGCATACAATCGTTCCCAATTTCATGCTTTTTTTTTACCTGCCTCCTAAATTTAGTTTACTTGATTGTGCGTCTAAATCCGCTCCAACTTAACGAACCTGCTATCACAAGGGGCATGAAATAACGCCATTAGGCTATTTAAGGCTATCGTCTAAGACTTTGTATAAGAATCACGCTTTAGAACGAAATATTTTTATCGTATTAGATTCGTCTTGAGTACAGGGCACGCATTTCGAGTTTCTGTAAATAACTACTCCTTACAGCCTGCTCTACATAACATTGCAACTAGTTAGGCTGGCTGAAGTTGAATCGCCGAGGTTTCTCTGTCGCCGCGCAACGCTTTCGGACAACGTGCACACCCAACATCTTGTATACGAGCGAGCCATCTATACGCCTAATAAAGCAACGCCTATGCTGTGCTTCCTCTATACGGTAACCGTGCATCAGCGGCCAAGAGGTGCACCTCTTGGATGGAGCCAGTACCCAACAGCAATGCTATTCATGGGATGCTTAGACTCTGAAGACCCAGTAGTGATTCATTTATCTCTATTGTGGCGCTGAGGTGCACAGCAATGAACTGGGCGTAGTTTGCAGTAGGGTTTCGTTCCCCAGTAACGTTCAGTTTTTTTTCATTTGTTGCTTTTGTAAGGATGACATATGGCTCGGACGCGACTCATTTCAAGCACGAACGACGATATGACTGGTTGATGGGTGAGTTAGTTAGTGACTGAGTGAGTGAGTGAGTGAGTGAGGGAGGGAGGGAGGGAGAGTGTGTATGTGTGTGTGTGCGCGCGCGCGTGTGTTTATGCGTGTGCGTGCAGGTCCATGTGTGCGCGCGTGCGTGCGAGAATGTGTGTGCGTGTGTGTGCGTGTACATGTGTCTGTGTGCATGCGTGTGTGTCACCTCCTATTTTTCTTTAAGAATAACGAAAATTTTAAATGGAGTCTTACGGTATAAAAAGAAAACGGCAGAATTCCGTTCAGGCACGCTATCTCGCATTTCACTCGCGAGACATTGGTATAAGCGAGCCCTGTTCGCTGCCTACCAAACAGTCGAAACCTTCCCGGCTGAGAATGGAATCTGCAGCCATTTGCTTAACGGGTTCGGGGGACGCCATTTTCCCGCCTCTCGGCACTTTACCGTGAGAAGCGAGACTCGTGCTTTGTTCGGCCCTCCTCTTCTTCTTCTTGAGGGCTGCTCGCCCTATTTAAGGGATCACTTCTCCAAATCTCGCCGTATTTGCATTGCACTCGGCATTCTCGCGTCGTCTGTGCGAAAAATATTGCATTGAACATGCGTATCTCTCTTCTTTCTTTTTTTTTCATTCTTCTTTCAGATTTCATCAAGAAAAATGACGGCGAGCATATTCGGGGAACCGGTGAGTACCGCGCTGTTTTTTTGTTGTTGTTGTTTCTGTACGACGGCGTTTTTGTTCGTCTTTCTCTGCTAACTTTATGCACGCATATGCTTCATAATATTAGATCAGTGTTATTCTAAGGCTCGCGCTGAAGAAAGAAAGAAAGAAAGAAAGAAAGAAAGAAAGAAAAAAAGAAAGAAAGAAAGAAAGAAAGGAAGAAAGAAATAAAAAATAAAAAAAGAAATGGGCATCAGGTAGTGACAGCAGCACTAGCCTGCGCATCTCTTGAGTGACGTATGCGAGTTTTTTTGTTCATTTTTTTTTTCATTTCATTCCATGTTTCAGCGCTGCTCTGAATAAAAGGCGCTTAAAGCTATGTTCAGTCAAATGAGGACACAGGCCCGTTTCGCCAAACGAAACTGTATTCAGCTGTAATTTCTCCCTCTCGTGTTCTGATATTCATAGTTTTCAACGCCGCAGAGACACGGGTAATGATTACCTCGTTTTTAGTGGGTCTCGAGCCTACGATAATGTGTTTCTGTATCTAGGATTCTTGCGCGAGCCATACTTCCGATTTGTTAGATTATACTGTTTGGACTAATATCGGATATAACGAACTTATTCTTGGCGGTTATAAGAGGTTCGATTGCATCCGCTAATACTATTATTTCCTTCTCGGCCTTGGACCTTACATCTCTGTAGAGTAGCGCCATCGAAAGCGACCCTGCGGGTACGTAGCCCGTTTCCTTTTGCGTTGTCGTCAATGTTGACCGGGCCCTTTCGGGTCAGCGTCCTCCTTCCGTGTTTTTACGAGCCTTCTCAGGTCACCGAGCCTTATCTCTTTCTTGGAGACGATTGTTTCGCCCTTCTTTCGCGCGATCGTATATACTCTCCTAGTATCGTTCTATGTTGCTCCCAGTGCATGGGCAGACTGTCAGGCTTGCAGGTTCGGTACTTGAGAAAACAGGGTGGCACTAAACGGAGGAAACAGTTGTATTAATCTGTCGTGCCACTAGCGGTACTTGCAAACTGCTACTTCTGCTGCTTCGGTGGGATAAAGGCCTTAGTCGCGAGTATAACGCCCCTCTCTTTAGATTGCATGCAGAACTCGTACGGCTTCGCAGAGTGTGACCAGAAGATCCTGAGCCGCAAGGAGTCCAACGGCACGGTGTACTCGCCCAACTGGCCGCTGCCGTACCAGGCGAACATAGTGTGCCGCTACTACATCTACGGCATGGAGGACGCCCAGCACCTGGAGCGAGTGCGGCTGGACTTCGACAAGTTCCACATGGACGACCACCGGGCGGACGACGCTCACGAGTGCACGGACGCTTACCTCAAGCTCTACATGCAGGTGCGCATCAACGCCTATGAACTTTTTTTACGGAGAGAAGGATTTCCTCCTTTCTGGGCTTTTGCACGAGAGTACAAAAGCCGACGTCACAGCCTGGGAAGTGCATTTGGGGGGGGGGGGGGGGGGGGTCACGCGCACCAACAACAGCCCAGAGAGGACTATGGCGGCGCCCGGGAAGCCTTGAGTGAAAAAGTCAACACACCGGAATTTCCGGCACTCCTAAAAGGGACGCTTGCGTTGGAGATTGGTCACGTTGCTGCATTGCGAACTTGTTGGAGCGTGGTGTAATATTGCAAGATGCGGTCAAGAGGGTAAAGGTGAAAGCTGGAGCGTGCAAATCTGGCCACAAAAGAGAAGTCAGGACAACACAAACACCCACTTACAACTGTTATTAGTCGGTGCTTGTGTTGTTCCGACTTTTCTCGTGGGTCAGTGTTGGAACGTCTGACGTTGTTTGTCATGAATCCGACTAGCTCAACTTTCCTATATTCCAACTGAATCCATTCTTGAGCACACAGAGACGAGCGAGGACGAGCGCAAACTTCCGGTTGGAAGTTAGTTCTCGTCCTCGTTTTTATTTGTGTCCCCGTCTTCAGTTCGCGCTGTATAACAAGTCACGATGTACCAACCAGCCCAAGCGGCTACCATTCTAAGTTAGTACTTCAACACAAGTTACGGCTAGGTTGCGTGAACGGCCACCCGATCGAGAAGGGTACAGCCCAATAGATTTATATATCCAGCGAGTAAGAGCTAGAGACAATAGTGTCTCTATTGGTGAAATAATCCTGCCTACATCGCACATTTACCGCCAGCGCGCGACCACAGCAGCGTGATTTGCTCCATTAATAGTAATTTCGTGGTCCCAACACTTGTTGTCGTACCTTATAAGTTCTTACTGGCAATCTAAGAATAAGTCTTCCACTCGTTCTGAAAAGAAGAATTCTACTTAAGTGTTTTTTTTTGTTTTGGCATTGTGCAGTTATTTAATACTCCACAGCAGCAGAATGTTTCTTCGAAATTCACGTCGCTGGTGATCTAGAACATACCACTAGCACAAGAAACGAGCTTGTGTAATGTCGATATCACGCTTGTTCGCACAGCCTTGATAACGTGCTTTCCCTATTATCATTCTCTTATGAATTGCTACGGGTGAGCATTCGTTTGTTCTCCATTTATTCAACATCAGACCTGCTCTTTTTTTTTTGTCTTCGTAACTTTTGTTTCGTTTTTACGCCACCATGCGCCTTAATTATTAGTCTTTGAATGGTGCACTCTCGCCTGTCAGCGTATCCAGTGTACGAGGACAAGCAGACGACACTTCCCTCTTCTTGCGCCCTTCTGCAACTTAATTTTGAAGTTGTTCTTTTATTTGGGTTTTCTGTGCTTGTCATGATAGTTTTATCTGCTTTTATGCACCCAGTTCTTTTCTCTAATGTGAGTCTTGTGTTGAGGATACATAACAAAACAAGAGCTTTCAGCTCAAGCCATGCCTTCCGACAGCTGCCATTGAAAGACAACCCTGCCTAATCGCGCATTGTCTTGCTGTATATGCTCCTTCAATTTGTTGTTAATTATCCGCCTACCACTTCTCCTACACCTTCTCTGACTCCACCGAATCGATAGCCTTCCATACAAGCGAGCTTTCGATCGATGTCATCGATCTTGGCTTTCGTTTATATGGATTCTCTTCGTAAGCCACCTTTATCGCACCGGGACGTTGGATAATGACGCGTTAAGCTATTTTCCGACGCGCTTCCTGAAAGCGTCGAGATAAAGAGCGTCTACGCCTGCGCCGTCCCTATAACGCCAGCAAAAAGAGAACTGGTCAAATGATATAGGGGGACTCACAGCGAAAAAGTCGCACATGACCCACAGCGAAAGTATACTGTCCTGCGTCAGTTTCGTCTATTCGTCCCTTCACCGGATCTTCACGGATGACTCCAAAGTCGAGTCGGTCAAGTGTCAGTTTCTCGTGAGCTTCAAGTCATCTCGCCTGATACAATGAGGAAGCGTTTGCGCACAACACTGCAATGACACTCACATCTGACAGTATAGTGAGGCGTTTTTTTTTTACTCGAGGAATCATGGAAAGTAAAGAAGGCTCATGACCCCGCCAACCAAAAGAAATGGCTCCTACTATACTTTCGGTCCCGTAGCTTTTCAGCGATGCCGCGACACTTGTTTGGTATGCAGGAGCGAATCGGCACGCTGAGACATTTATGATTTGGTTCTCGTCTTCGAAATGTTCACTCTTGCCACTGGCGTAGAGCGGGAAACGTGCCTGATAGTTTAGGTTTCTGCGCACGTTTCAGCGTTCGAGAGGGTTTAAAGTTAAACTGGAGCACTCTTTTTAAAGTCTATGCGGCGTCCCTCGCTTCGGAGTATAGCATGAATATGTCGCTGCAAACTTTTCAACGTGAATCATATTTCTCGAGTGCGTTTCGATTTCTTGTTCGTTTATGTGTGAAGAAATCTGAAGTAACTTCAGTGTTGCAGTTATACAAAGTTACAAACTTCTGGACGAGTTGATGGTGGCTATTGACGATCGTGATGCCACGCACAAAATAGGGCAGGAGAGGTGACTGGTCAAAACAAACAATGCTGTCGATACGCTTGCTAATTCGTATGCTTTATACGCTAAAATAGGTGCCACAAACTGCAGGCGTTTTGCTCTCCTGTACTAGAGTACCTAGTACTCTAAATTGTTAACCACTTTTTCTAAACAAAATAAATTTAGCCGTGAACCTCGCCGTTTTTCATTCTCAGGAGTTCTTAAACGTTCTCGAGTGAATAGAATCCGATTCTGCAGTTTCACGTGCCGAAACTACAACGTAGTGACGAGGCATGCTGCAGTCAGTGACTTCAGATCAAATTTCGACCACCCAAGGTTCTTCGACAAGCACCCGAAACCTTAATACAAGCCACTCCTCTTCGCTAAAAACAAAAAAAAATAAGCTTGTACGATTTTTCTGTGAGAGTCGTCGACATGAACGCTCCCGATTTCTCTCTGGTTGTCCTACGCAATCGCGTTTAGGCGTGTTTGTTTGCGGCTATCGAGTGACGTTGACTACACTGTGACGTCATCGCCTCGCAGGGCCAAGAGGAGCGGCAAGCGGTGGACGAGTTCGACCACGCGTTCTGCGGCAACCAGGCTCCGCCGGCGCTCATCTCCGAGGGGCCTCGGCTGGTGATGGTCTTCTCGAGCGGACAGACCAAGGGCACGGGCTTTCGGGCACGATACTCGTTCGAGACCGACTACAAGGTCTCCGCTCTCTCCTTACCTTTGTCTGCTGTTCATGGCTGAAGTCGCGGTAATTTCGTAAACGATGGATTTGTGGCTAACGTAAAAGGCTGAACGCGAATGGTCGCACTTACAGTCCTCGTAGTGTTATTAATATATGCTTACTTCAAGCACCTTACTACAAGCTGTAGTTAAGTCACTGTTTAGCCATGTCACATCTATTATTTGTATTTCACTTTTTTTTTCAGCAAGACCACATAATTACCGTGTAACTTGACGCTCTGTGGTGAAGCCGGCCCCTGCATCCCTGAAGATGATATCGGGATGCTTAACAGTACGTCATGTTGGGATAGTTGGTTACATATTAGGCTGAAAGAAGAGAAATAGAAATTAGCCTAATAGACAAAGAGAAAAAATAGACGAGACAGAAACAGCGCCAAAACATTTTGATGATGTAATAATAACCGATTATTGCTATCACGATATCTGGGAACCAGCAATAAACAGATGTGCCTAATGTAAAGACGTCGAAAAAAAAACCACTCTTTCTGCCTCGTCTCTTTTTGTCTCTTTGTCAACCTTGCGCCACGTATTTCAGCCTAGTATCATGATAGAGGTGCACGCGAGAAACGAGCAATGTCGATCTTAGGTGATTGCGATAGCAATCGTTTCGCATCATCTCTTCGTCGCAAGAGAGCGAATATAACGTTCTCCATTTCGTTCGCGTCGCCGCAGGTCCCGGGCACGCCTTCGCCCAACAACACGTGCCACTTCTGGTACCTGAGTGAGTCGCAAGTGACGGGCGACTTCAACTCGCCGCGCTACCCGGCCAACTACCCGTCCAGCACACGCTGCGAGTACGTATTCCTCGGTGGACTGGGCGAACAGGTCAAGATCGTCTTCAACTACTTCAAGACTAAGGCTGAGCTCGCCTATCACGGATACAAGTGAGTGCATCTCATGCATGACGCGGCTTTTGTGCACCCCGTGTTCACCTTAGCGAATATGAGAAGGTGTCTTGGGACTTAGAACCCGTTCGCTAAGCCTTGAAAAGAGAGAGAGGAAAGGCAGGGATGCTAACCAATCTAGAAAAAACTAGTATTCTACCTTACATTGGGGAAAAAGATGAGGGAGTAAGACGTCATTGTGTACAAAGGTGACGTAGGCATTGCCGAAGTTTTTGAAGACAACAAGCTTGTATTGGTGGTTATAGACCAATGGCGTTATTGATACTGTAAGGAGTGAGACATCACGTGTGTGTGCGCCCCCTCTCTCTCCCTCTCTTTCTCTCTTCACCAGAAAATAAAAATGCGCATGCTACATGCCCGAGCACTTGAATGATGAAAGTCCGCGCATTAACATAATAATGTGACCAACGTCATCATTTTCTCGATGTGTGTGTGCGCTTTCAGCGAGGCCTGCGTGGAAGACTGGCTGGAGATCTACGAGGTCTCGGCCAAAGGCGAGTCCAACAAGATCGGCCGCTACTGCGCCAGGACTGCTCCGGGACCCATCGTTTCTGACACGGGCATAAACATGATGAAGGTCATCCTACATACCGACAGTTCTGGTGTCGCCAGTGGCTTCAGCGCGACGTACTACTTTCTCAAGGACGTCAACAAGTTCGGAGGCGAGTCAATCCACACGGTTCAGCTTTATCGCATTCCGCGAAACGCACTCGATCTGGAAAAAAAAGAAGAAAATGACTCTTTTCAAGCATTTAAAACAAAGCCATTGTAATATTCATAGCTAATTGCCGGGTTGTCAAATGGTTACCGCTTTTATTTTTTTAATGACTCCTATACAGCAACTCTTGCAAGAATTCTGGGTGCCTGTCTGCATAAAAATAACATGTAGTACTATCCGTCATAGACAATGACAATTGATTGATTGATTGATTGATTGATTGATTGATTGATTGATTGATTGATTGATTGATTGGGTGTAGAAATCAATGTTTGGTGTATAATATATAGAAAGGTGAGAGTTAAGGAGTTTAACTTTTCAATTCATTTATTCATACAAGTAAAGCTGCAGTGTCACACGTACCTTGGCAGGCATCACATAGCAAAAAAAAAACTGCACGAAAATTTGTCCTACATATAAATCAGAACAAACAGCGAGGCAGAAGCGCAAGATCAAAGGTTCCATCGCAATAACAGATTGACAGGCACGCACCCTCGAAGCAACAAGAAACAGGGACTAATCGCACGGAGAGAAACTATGGCACCACTGTATACCGTTCTCGTAATTCGACTGAAAATTCTTGCCCGGTTCTCTTAATCACGTAAATGTGGTACATTACAGGTGATTTCTTGCAAAAATAAAAACAAAGCATTTGACGACGAGTGTCGCTTTATACTTGCAGACTGCGGCGGTAACTATAACGGGCGAAGAGAACGGCCTCATAACGAGCCCCGGGTACCCGAACCCGTACAAGAACGACCGGCAGATGTGCAACTGGTACATCACGGTGCGGCCGGGACACAAGGTGTTCCTGCACTTCACGCTATTCCTCATCGAGGGCCACCCGGGAGGTGAGACGTACATCGTGTATCTTTGGAAGCTTTGCGTCAAACAAGTCAACCAACTAGCCGTTCTTCTACGCCGGCGTCAGCCAACTCAACCAACTAGCCGTTGTTCTACGCCGCACGAAATATGGAACTTGTCATACAGATTTTTCTTGAACTAGGGACTCAGATTGGCATAGTCTTGATCTTCTAAAAAAAAATTGCCGGACTTTTAACTTTTTCAAACCTAGTTACCACAAGTGGCATGTATGTGTGGCTTGGTGTCGCAAAGGCACGCGGTGTTTTAAACTTTCGGCTGCTCACGCGGTACTGATGCGGCGAGGCTCCGAGCGAACGCAGTAGCAACTCCGCAAAAGATCACGTGGCATGACGTCACACCTATCACGCTTGCGTACCGCGGGCTCGCACTTAGGCTGTTCAAGGTCATTACGATGCCATAAATGACCTTGAGAGATACAGCGTAGAAAAACTTACGGTCCAAAAATGGACACAAAGGAGCACGCATCAACAGGGCCACCAAGTCAATGCATGTTTCTTCATGTTCGTACTTTTTTGCTCTATGTAATGTATACCAGGAGACCTATTGCCCCAGCTTGCATCTTGCTAGCGTATTTCTTGAAGTATCTCTTTCTTTTTATGCATTTCATGGCAAAAGATGTTAACTCTCTGGAAACAATGAAGACAATACCCATCTTGCGAAATTGTTAGAAATATTAGACCTAAGACATCTTGGGTGAAGTATAAATATAGCTTATGTGAGGTACAATCTCAGATGCACTGATAAAACAGTGTGTTCGTACTACTGTGGCCTCCTAGATGGCGGGCGCGCGGCAGGCGTCCGCCATCTCGGAGGCCATGGTAATACATTCTAACCCTTGCATTAGATGCTTTTGCATCGAGTGTGTACTATGCACATCCGTTCACTTATGCCATATTGGACTGTGTGCTGAGGTGTCGGTTTGGTGCTTGTTGTTTTTTTTTTTCTGATCGACCTTGTAGCAACTTATATATAGCCACGATGCCTTTAGTTTCAAACTGCTCATTGAATCGATAACGTTCCTGAGCTTGAATTAAGGAGCACGGGATGCTGAGTCGGCATACGCGACTGATTACAATCTTCATCCATTGCAGAGCGAGGATGTCCCAGCGCAGTGGTGCGCGTCTGGAAGAACCTATCAGACGCGCCGCTTGAACTGTGCGGCGAGGGTTTGAGCAATGACACGAGAGAAGTGATATCCACCTCCAACGTGCTCAAAGTATCGTAAGTGAGACCACGTCAACGTCATGAAAAATTCCTAAATAGTGAGTGTGTGTTACAGCCGACGTTTCGACAAGCGGACATCAACGTCAGCGACTTTTAGATATGGCACCTAGTTGTAGTTATGATGGAACAAAAGAAAACGTGACCTGTATGTGTGCGAAATTCGCTTCCAGAGCTTGAGGTTCAGGGTTCGAATCGCTAGGGAGCGTTTTAATGAGGACAGAAAGCGCTGGTAACGATGTTTGGGACGCAGGCTGGAGAGTCCGTAATGTAGTACAAATCGGCGCAAAAACCTACTGCTATGACGTCCTTCGTGGCATCCATTTCGTTCTTTCGAAAATGAGAGTTAACTATGTCGCTCAATGCAAGGCAACAGTGTTTCAGGATTCACCGTATATTCGCGAAAGATGCGACAACTGCAAGATTTGAAAAATAAACGAGAAAAACGTCCAAAAATAAGATAGCCATGGCCGTTTGAAAGTAGGCTTATGTTTTGTTTGTCTTGTCAAAAATGTATTGCCTCAAGGCACAATTTATATATACGATAAGCAAATATTGCGTATCTATCCTGAAAGAATTGAATTCTTAATTTACTTTTGTTTACACGCAGAAAAAAAAAGAACATTGAGGAAAAAGTAAGGAGTTTCGTTAGCTGTCAACTTTCAATCACAATTATGCTGTCTCTGTTTCGCCAAGAAAGCAGTCATCTTGAATAAAGAAGCAAATATATGCCATTTTATTTCAACATCATCAGATAATTAGTACTGTAACGAAATCATTGTCGTAACCTCAAAGGCAAAAATATGGGAAACAAAAAAATCAATACAAGAAGGTTAAGGGGAAAAAATAGTCTGAGAGGTCACTGTGTCATTTCCTGCGGGGCCTCACCACGTTCATTACCACCTCAATTCAACGTAATAACTGACATTATCTTCGACAAGCAAACAGCAACAGTTATGTGTAGCTACAATACAATCACGATTCGTTATCACTTCCTTATCTAAATTCGTGACGTATAACATGGGTCATGAAATATATCTCCTATACCACAAAAAAAGGTTGAAATTCAAACTGGTTAACATTCTTATTTTGTTTAACATCGCTGATGCTTAAAACAATACATGCAAATTTTGTTTCATATTACTCACCACATGAAGAGCGTGTGGGCACTTGAAATCATCTTTAACTGTTCCTAATAGTCAATTTTTTAGAATAGCGTTCGCAAATCTTTGCGCTAGCGTTTGCCACCTCTACGCACGCTCCGTACGGTATGATCTCGTAAGCTTCCGTTGTGTGAAGGAAATAACGGTAAACCACAACGAACGATGTATTTGCGTACGCTATTGGGCTAATAATTTCACCATGCTATATGTGCATGACCTAAGGTTTTCACCCAATCTAGAGATAATGCACGAAGCGATACGCATCACTCATCTGGCTAACATAGACAAAAAGTTAAGGCTCGCATACTTGTAGTGGTATGCTCATGTTAAGGTACATTTATTCTCCAGTGATGCCTTTCACAATTTTTTCTCATAGAGCAGATACAGCCTATTATTGTTTTTTTAACCTTGCTTCTTTTTGCTTAACCA